GGTAGTTACATGGACAGCTAGCTTGTGTGGGCACGGCTTCATTGCTGTTGGTCCTCAAGCTAGCCAGGGTCACACCTTCCTAGCAGTGCAGATGTAGCCTCAGCCATTGCTAACCAGAGCTGAAAAAACATAAATGAGTATGAGATTTCAGAGCTAACTCAGTGATTTAGGAGCACAAATCCTATTGGCTTTCAAGGCAACTTGTCTTCCTGTGTGACTTAGGTGCGTCTCAAAATCCCACCCAGGAAGACTAAGACAGCAAATGGGGGCTTAACTCACAAATCCCTTAGTTCATGTCTACACTAGGGCTGTGTCTAGACTGCATCCCTTTTCCGTAAAAGGGATGCAAATTAGACACATCGCAATTGCAAATTAAGCGGGGATTTAAATCCCCCCCGCTTCATTTACATAAACATGGCTGCCGCTTTTTTCCGGCTCGGAGCTTTGCCGGAAAAAAGCGCCAGTCTAGACGGGGATCTTTCGGAAAATAACGCCTTTTCCGAAAGATCCCTTATTCCTCTTAAAAAAAGGGATAGTTCGAATTTATGAAGTTCAACTTCTGGGCACCTAATTTTACAAATTCAAAGTTCTGTGTCCTCACTATAGGGAAGGGTCACATTTAATTTGAGGCAGGCGCTGTTAATGTGGATGCGCTACCTCAGACTCAGAGCCTCAGGAAGCACTCAGGAGAGCTGAGGGACGCTTCCCGGAGGCCAATCAATTCGAATTAGCGGCACCAGAGCATCCACACTAATGTTATTTCAGACTTACATGTTCAGGAATAACATCACTCCCCGTGAAAAGCAGGACTACAGCTTTCCAATTCCGCCGCCCCTTATTCCGGAATAATGGGCTTGGTAGTACAGATGCTTCGCTTACAAATTCAACCTGGCGTGGGGAGGGGGCTAATTTCGGACTAAGGTCATTGTGTAGACCAGGCCTTACAAATCACCTCTAGCGCGCCTTCCACATCTTGGCCAGGATGCCTCAGGAACTTATAGCCATTGGAATCGCCAGTAGTGAATAAAATGTTCAGCCCTTATAAATGTTTTTAAATGAGTATATATTCCACTGCCAGGAAGTTCAAAGTTCAATTGACTCCCTGTTGCACAGTAATGCAGCTTTGGGGGTGGGGAAAGCATTATGTAATATAAATATACGAGTGAGCTTCTTACATGAGTCAGAGCTGTCTGGAAACACAATCTAATAGGCCACATTTCACAGAGAGGGCTTTCATTTCCCTTCAATGTGTCCTGTGTGTGTTGGAAATGTGAAAGGACCATAAATACTGTAGCTCTCCCTTAAAAGCAGGGGAATTGTCACCAGACCTCAAAAGTGCCTTTTCAAAGTGCTAGGTATGGGGAGTGAGATATTCAGATACTTGGGTCCCCTTCATCTGAATGGACGGGGTATGGCCAAAACCAAAAGAGACAGCTTGAAAACGTCCACTAGTGGTTTGGACAAAACTTGCTGAGACTTTGCTTTTCAACTAGTCTTAGAGTGGTAGCCATGTTAGTTTGTCATTTTAAAATCAACGAGTAATCCTGCGGCACCATTTTTTTCAACTAGGTTTCTGATCTGCGCTTCACTGAAATATATAGGAACCTTTCACTGAGTGCGGTGGCTTTTGATCACAGTTTAAATGCCTGACTAGGGCCAGGATTTGATTCACAAACTGAAACATGCTCTGGGTACCAGAATCAAGTCACCCTGATGACTTTAGCCTTTGGTGAACTTCGAAATGCATCCATCCTCAACCCTGCAAAGAACCAGCCCCTGCCTTGCTGTTAAAATTAACAACTGCGCTATCTTTGCCCAGCAACAGTTGTGCCTTGGAACTTGCGGTGTAAGATGGCGTGGTCACCCGAGATTGCTGTTCAAAAGATAGCTGTGCCAAACCAGTGGCTTGAATGAAACAAAGCGAGTGCTTCACACAGATTACGTTGTCAGGTGAGGTGATGACAGCAAAACACATAAAGAAGGGCCACTTGGCTGGTTCTCATATCACTCCGACTAGCTGAGCACGATCATTCAAAGTACCGCGCTAGATACAGCATTTCAGTCTGAAATTTCATTAAAATAGTCCAGTAAAATATCAAACTTCAGGAGGAAAGGAGACACACAATGTCATTGATTTTTGTTAAACCAGCTGCCAATCTGCTCGGATTGATTCTGGGACTTTGGGGAAGAAAATGGAAGCATAGAGGAGGTTGATAGGGAAGTAGAACAAGGAGAAAAAATTAACTAATTAAATTAGCTTTTCTGCTGATCCAAAAGAAATCGCCCGGTTGAGCTTTGGAGAGAGTCTGTCTATGGCAGTAACCCTGGGGCTGTTGTGACCACAGCTGGCCAGGATCGGAACAGGTGAGCCCTGTAGTTGCCATGACCCCAGCACTTTGCCAGATGGCAGTGAGAACTAAGACATAAAGGGAGCCAGTGTGTGCTCATGCAGGCGCGGCGGCATTGCTTTGGGCTGGGCTGCATTTGACCGATCTGATCCCTACTTTTTGTTTGTTTGATTAAGACGGTTATAATTCATTTACCCAGAAATTCTGTGCCACTGGGTCCTGCCAATTAAAGCCGGAACATTCTGAAACAAGAGCGGAGACAGGAAGTGACCCTGTTGGCGGACGGTGCCGGGGGCCTGTGACTCTTATGCTGGGTGGACTGCAGAGAAAATGACTTGACAGTTTTTTAGCTCCCTCCTGTTTGCTTGTGGGCCAGCTGTTATTGTATGTGGAAGAAGGAAACCTGAGCTCAGGTAAGACTTTAGGGGGGCAACAGGCAGGAGAAAGTCATGGAGCCAAAAGCCTTGCCGATGTTAATGTAGTGATTTTAATTAGATTGGGAAGCGCCTCTGGTTTGTGAACCCACCTGGGCTTGCTTCTGCCGAAGTGAGGGGGAAAGGTCTCTTGGAGCTGTTCAGATTTTCTCTTAAACTGGCTCAGAGAAAAGCTGGGACATGGGTTCTATCGTGGGCTGAGGAGAGCCAGGAGCAGGTGCAAGGACTGTCTCTAACGTCTTCCTTTTTACCCGATGAGCTGTTGGTGGCAGATGGGGCATTGGCAGCCCCGGACTGTTTCCATTGACTTCAGAACAGGTAGGCAGGAATTGGAGGGACCAGCTGTAGGGCTAGTGGGTAATTTTACACACAGCACCGTGACCTCTCTGGGGGTCAAGTCATTATCCTCCTTCAATTCCCTCCTTAACGCTCCTGGGCAGAGATGCCTAAAAAGCCCACAAACAATCTTGACAACGTTTAGGCAGCTGGTGTGCTGGGATCTGCTTGTCACGCTGACCAGGACTGTCTCTATGTTACCCAGGGCTGCCCTGGCTGTCTCCTTCCTTTGTCTTGGATGCTGTGGTCTTCGTGGCAGGGACCGTGTTTTGGCTCTGTTAATGCAGTCCTGATCCCTGATGTACATAAGCACTGCCAGGACAAACTGCAACAGGAATGTACAGGGCCTAGCACAACGGGCTCCTGATCCGTGACAGGGGCTTCCAGGTGCTACTTGATTACAGTAATAATAATCTAACGAGGCTGCTGACAAAAGGGCCGAGTTATGTGATCTGGGCACCTGCCTAGTTAATGGATTGTTCCCACCAACTCACTGGATACACGCCACAAAAGAGCCATCATCCGAACACAGGAACGGCCAGACTGGGTCAGACTTAGCAGTGCAGTCGTTAGAGGCCCATCACGCTCTTGTGAACACGGGATTCCCTTTCCTCCCCAAATGCCAGCTCTTACCCTATTATGCCATATTAAGACTATCCAGGACATGGGATGTCCCTCACCACGATTTCCCACGGAGGCCGCAGCCTCAAAGCCTGTGGACAACGTCCAACGGGGGGCATGTTGACTTTGTGACACAGGAGTTTTGAAAGGGGGAGGAGATGGGAAAAGCGGCATGAGAGCTGGTTGGCTAGAAAATGGCCTTTAAACACCAATCGCATTTTCATGTCAAAAGATCAGTTTTTGTCAAAATCTATTTCCTCCCTTCTTCAACGTTCTGCAACCAAACCCCAAATTCATTCAACTTTATATTATATCCACCCCCTTTTCACCAGTAACTGGAAAATTGCCTTTCCGCTTTTTGAACCAAACCCCACAACGTTTTCCATGACAAATTGATACGACAAGAGAAAAAACATTTTTGATCAAAATTTTCCACAGGAAAAACTATGTCCTGACCAGGCCTGTGATTTTCAAAAGTAATTCGAGACCATAAATTCCATTTTCAAAAGTGACTAAGAGACACATTTGAAAGGCATTTGGGCACCTCCCATAGGAGTTAGGCACCTAAATAAATTTAAAAAATCTGGCCCTATGTCACAAAGGGCCAAATTTATAAAGGTATTTATGTATTACAGTGCTCACTTGTTGCACTACCTAGCTGATTTAGGGGTCTAGACCACATTTTGAAAGGTGATCTAGGCATTTAGGGATCTCAAGCTTAATGATTGGTAATGGGATTTTGACTTTTAAGAACCAAAATCCCTTTTGATAAGACTTAAGTGTCTAAATCAGTTAGGCACTGCACGGCTAAATACGGCAATGTCCACATTTTAAAAGGGTTTTGGGCCTTAGAAATCTAACCTCTATTGACTTAATGAGAGTTGGGCTCATCTATATGCCTGTCATTTGAAAATGGCATTTAGACTCCTACATTACTTAGGCACATTAAAAATGGTGCTTCTTTTCTAAAGAAACAATGTCAAATCCTGAAACCACTGACGTAAATGACCAGCACCCTGTTGAATTCAACAGCACCAAGCTTTGGCCCACAGCCTTTTTGCCTCGTCCAGGGGAACAGGCACCAACCCGCTGCTAACAGGGAAATGAAATCAAACCAAGCAGAGACATTGTGTCAAAAGCAACAAACAGAATGAATAGTGTTTTCAGCACAACTCTCACATTTTTCTATTTCCTTCTCTATTGATATGTAAAAATATATATATATATGTATATGCGCCATGTGGTAATTACAAGACGACACCAGCCTCAGTCCCAGCCAAAGTCGTGCCCAGTCATCTGGTAGAACTTCATGTTGAAAGGCCGGTAGAACTCCCGCAGTCTCTGCACCACCTCCTGGTCGATGTTGGGGTGGGTCCGGCCTTTCGTTTTCCCCAGGCAGTGGGGTTTGCTGCTGCCCTCGGCCTTCTTCAGGCAGGGGAAGCCCTTGGTTTTGTTGAAGTAGAAGTGTTTGTCCGTGATGATCCTCTTGAGGCCCAGAAAGTCCTGGACCCTGCCCAGCTCCCCGGCAGGGTCGCTGATCAGCCTCTCCCCGCTGACAAAGAGGATCTGGCCAATGGGGAAGTAGAGGAGCCAGTTCTCCAGGTGCTTGGCGTAGATGCCTATCTGGATGGCGCTCCAGGAGGTGTCGATCAGGCCTGTAGTCCTGTTTTTGAAGGTCAGGCTCTCAAAGGTGGGGATATCGGGCTTCTTCGAGAGAGTCTGCGTGTAATCGGAGATGGCTCGGGTCACGGGGTCCCGCACCACCACGATGAGCCTGGTGCCCTTCGACATGGCGGAGATGCGCGCAGGCGCTTCCTTGGTGACAAAGTAGCTGGGGGTTTTCTCCATGGTGATCTGCCCGTCAAGGGTTCTGGGCATCAGGTCCCTAGCAGGGAGAGACAGAGAGACAGAGAGAGTGAGATATTAATGCAAATATTACTGGGGATGGCACACGTGAGTCCAGGGCACCGCATGGCTCGAAGGATGACAACGTGGCAGGGAGTCATTGCCTTTTTCCTGGTAACAGAGGTTAGCGCCACCTCCTCCTGCATGTTGGGTGAAGGGGAAGGACTATGATGCCCTAATTCAGTCTGGTGCCTTAAGCCAGTGTTTTCCAATTTTATTGGGCCACGGAACCCTTTTAAACTCAAAAGAATCTTGCACAACACCTAATAACAGTCTTATACATGGTCTATAACAGGCAATCGCAGAGCTGATTGACTGCGCGCACAGCGCTGAATAGTGACATCATCATCCCCACTCTGGCTAAGCTGGCATTACACAGGGACATCATGGCAAACACAAATGACATTTTTTTTAAAATAAAATTCATAAATTCTTAATTTTTTTTTAAATCATAAAATGTTATTGTAATGGAATTTTCTTGCAGAACTCTTATTTTCACTTTGCAGAATCCCAGGGCTCCGCAGAACACCATTTGAGAAACACTGCCTTAAGCAAATGAGCAGCCCCATTGACTGCACTGGATCTATCCATTAAACAGTTCCATGGGACCTCCGAGTTGGGTCAATAATTGAAATGCATTGGGCAGGGCATATGGATTGCCTCTCCCTAGCCATTTAGTATGGAGTGTTATGATGGCTGAGACAATACTACAGGGAGCATGAAGCTACTCAGGGTGCTAGGGTGGAGAGACTATCAAGGTGGAAACGTAACAGACAACAACACAACACCACACTAATGGAAGTCAATGCAAGAGTAATAACTCCTGATGAGCCAACACCTGAGGCCCAAGCCACCTGAACTATAACTCCTGTGAGGCACTCATGACTCGACTTGTTTCTAGTTTGGAGCCCTCCCCGACCCCCAAATCCCAAATCGCCAGAACTACTACGAAGGACTTTGACGGGAACTGGGTCAGGTTCTTGGGGCGTGTCTACATGGAGAAAGAGCCTGGAGTAACTATTCAGTTCTAACTCCCCACAGGGACACACTCTGGCTATGTCTACACTGGCATGATTTTCGTTAAAAGAAGTTTTCCGTTAAAAGCATTTTTGGAAAAATCGTGTCTAGATTGGCAGGACGCTTTTCCGCAAAAGCACTTTTTGTGGAAAAGCGTCCGTGGCCAATCGACGCAGTTTTCTGCAAAAAAGCCCCGATCGCCATTTTCACGATTGGGGCTTTTTTGCGGAAAACAGTACTGTGCTGTTTACACTGGCCCTCTTGCGCAAGAGGGCTTTTGCCCAAACGGGAGCAGCATAGTATTTCTGCAAGAACACTGACAATCTTACATGAGATCGTCAGTGTTCTTGAGGAAATTCAAGCGGCCAGTGTAGACAGCTGGCAAGTTTTTCCGCAAAAATCACATGATTTTGCAGAAAAACTTGCCAGTTTAGACACAGCCTCTCAGATTAATCTGCTTTGGAATGGGTTAAGCTAATTCCCACAAACACACTGTCAATGAAGAAACCAGACTGAAAACTGAGCAACAGCAATGACAGGGTGAGTGGATCCACACAGGGTGAGTGGATGGGATACTGCCCATTTATGTGCAGCGGGACTACGTTCTAAAGGAACACGGTCCAGGATTTATTGGGCTTCTAGCTTTTTTCTGAAGAGGCTACAGTGGCCCAGTGCACCCAGGGTCACCTGCGATAATGTCTTCTAGTACAAGCCAGACCCTCTTAAGGGGATCACGCTTATATCTCTAGTTACACAGAGAGCATGTCCTCACTGCAGAAAAAGGTAAATTCTTAATGTGGATTAACATAGCAGTGAAAACACAACATATTCAGGAGCATGGATTGAACTCGAGTTGCTAACCTGAGTTAATACACTTGAGCCTCCGGGCTCTGGGTGTCCCTAGTCTGGGAACACCCATAATACGGAGGAGGAAGCGGCGCTGTGTTCTGCTGTGCCCACTCCCCCGAGCTGCGGAACAGAAAGGCAGTGACGTGTTTCCCGTGCGGCTTTTCCCCGCTGCTCTCATAGAAGGGGAAGGGGGGGGGGTGCGAAGCAAAGTGGGCCCCCGGGAGCAGGGTTCCAGTTAGATGCCCCACCCCCTCATGCACAGACCTCATAGCATCCACCCTGGCCTGGCAAAATCTCTAATCTGCCTTACCCCATTGCCCAGGACTGCCAGATTAAAGTGGTTCAAGTGTAGCTGAGTTGCCTTGTCTTTTAACCTCAGTTAGCTAGCCCAAGTGTAAGAACAACCCGAGATGAGGCAGTACCTGAGGGGCCTCTCTCACAAGAACTGATTTTCACACTCATCGGCATGTGGAGCAAAGGCTGGAGCAGGCTCTGACTCGGGAGGAAATGGTTTGAAAACATAAGAGGGAATTTTCAACCCGCCCCGCCAAGCCTTTGCTTGCTACTGCACACTGAGAACCAATGTAATGTATACGTTACTAGAGTCCTGTCCTTTTAATTCCTCCTTGCCCACATTGGGATTTCCTGCCTTCTGCTTGAGTTCTGTCAAATATCAGGGAGTCCCTGTAACAAAGGCACTCTCTTCCTGTAGGGTATGAGGAATTTTAAAGGGCCTGGACAGTCTTTTGCTATCTTTTGGGGTTGTTCAGGAGACAGCACAGTGATTTCATCTAGATGTAAGCGGGGGAATGGTCCCGCTATTGTGGGGAACTTTCCTGGCTTCTATACACCCCGGTGAAATGAACCAGCGAAAGGATCTGAGTCCCCGCTCCCACTTCCTTTACCCCACGGCTCCCTGATCCTGAGGGCTCCCCCTCCACTCTCCTGAGTAGCAGAGCCCTCAAAACCCCAACAAGGCTGGGCCCAGGTTTCCTGGGGCTTAATCCCCGACCTTGTAGTCACTAGGGACAGGAGTTAGGGTGTCCCCACTCCAAGGTGCTCTCTTTACACTGCAGGCCTTCTTGGCCCAGTGATCATTTCATCAGGTTCAAAGCAAATACAATTTATTAAACATCAACTGATTAAAGAGAAAAGAATAAGAAAAAAATGAGAATGGTTAAATGAGAACACACAGCCCTGCTCTGTAGCACGGGGACATCAAAACAGCAGCCTGCAGAGTGTAAGGACAGTTCACAGTCTCTTCCTTAGAGGCCCTGGATGTGCTGCAGGGGGCTGCAGGCTGGACACACTTGCTCTGGCAGTAACCACACAGCCTCAAGCTCTAAGTGGCCAGACCCCTCTCCCAGTCCAGAGCCTCTCCCCACACTCTGCAGGTCCCAGCTGCTCACCACATCCAGCTGCAGGCTGTGCTGCTTGGCCAGTCTCTAGCTCCTTGCGTTGCTTCTCTGTTCCTTTTGGCTCTCTGAGCACTGCCAGTCTGCTGCTCAACACAGGATCTGCGCTCCTTGAGCTGTGTGTGTCTGGCTCTGCTGCTCAAAAACTGCCCCTCAGCACAGCTTGCACTCCTCTTAGCAGTCTCTCAGCTCTCTCCTTGCTCAGAGAGACCCTGAACAATCCCAGCTCACAGGGAGGACGGGTCCTGGCCTCTTGCTTTTCTCACTGGCCTGTCCAACTTGTCAATCAGGCTGACCTGGAGTGTTGGCTGCTTTCCATTGTCTCTGGGGTCTGTCAGTCTCATGGACCCTTCCCCTTTTGATACTGGGAGCTGGCAAGCCAAAAAACTCCCATCGCCATGAGCGTGAACTGGGGTGGAAAAGCAAAGGCAGCCGTTGCCTCTAAGAATTCACTGTAGTGCACAAAAGGCCAGGGAAATCAAGGTGAAGGATGCCCTTACAAATGCAATGCAACGCTGAGCCTAAACTCCGTGAGGTCCCAATACAGACTTCTATATGCTGGGCTTCATATGCAAGCCCTGCTTTCACTGATGCTAGGGAGTATTTTGTCTGTGTCAAGGCTGCAGAAGTTAGTCTCATATGTGATGCACTCTCTAGTCGAAGAGGAACACGCTGACTGCACCAGCCTGAACTATGAGCTCTTTTGCCTGAGTCAGGGTAAGGCAGAAACCTGTACTTTTCCAAGTTGAAAGTGACCAATTTGTCTTTTGTTCTGATCAGGGCGATGGTGGCTCTTACAGGGGAGAGAGGAGGGAGAGGTGGATGTTTTGTACCCAGAATTACAGGGCAAATTGAAGTTGGAAACCTAAAGCCAAGTCTCCTTAATGTGTAACATCAAAGCAGAAATCTCACCCACTGCAAGCTGCCCTTGGAGACCTCGGTGGTGAAATTGTGAGTGTGGAAATGATGCTGACCCACAAAATACTTGATGAAGGCAAGAAACAGAACAAAACCAACTTCTACTGGCTTCTTACAAGTACCGGGGCTCTGCAGGGAAAGGAACTGGTATGAATCAGCCATGGCATGGCTCGCTTTCACGGAACCCAGGTGCATTTCACATTTTGAAGAACAAGCATAGGAAGCCATATTACCCTAAGAATACTGACTACTCTAAAGAGAGGAAGGATCATCCTAAGACTTAGGAAAGCCAGGTCCAGCTCCTTGCTCCAATACAGGCTTTCTGTGTGACCTTGGGAAAGTTATTTAGTCTGTGCCTCAGTTCTCCATCTGTAGCTTGGGGATAACAGTGCAGTCCTACCTCAGTCAGTACAGTGCTGGGGACATGTAAATATCACAGGCAGAAGTCAGTTTCACTCTTTGTAATGATTTAGGCAAGCAGCCCTTAGGAGCAATCTATGCTGAAGAGGAACGGGATCATTGCAGAGGTGTGATGAGAAATGGTTCTGAGTAAATACGAAGGCATCTAAGCAAGCTTGCAGGAAGTCTAAGTTAGTTATAGTGCATCACAAAAGTGCCTCAGTGCGATCAGACCCACCTGACTGTGCTGGGCGCTGTCTAGCTACAAAGTAAAAGGCAAGCTCCAAATCTAGAAGCAACCTGAACAGGCAAGACAAAAGGTGGGAGAAGGGAAACGCTGTTACCATGATGCTATAGATGGGGAAATGAGGCAGCAGAACAAGTGACTTGCCCAGGGTCACACAGAGGATCT